GTTCTGTAGGGATCTTCTGCACAAATAGCCTCGTCATTCCGCTAAGCCATGTGTGTAGTAATAAGGCTCGTGCAAATAAACGTTCATCTTTAGCTCTTAGCGTTTACAGGTAGGGACCATTTGATGTAAGCTTTAAGCGCGCTTCTATTACCTTTATACAATTCTTATTAAGATTATCTCAAATTCTTTCCTTTCACCTACTCTATGCTTTTATTAGAACATTAACATTCATTACATTTCTTTTTGCTGTAAATGTATGTGTTTGTATATGTAGTTTGCTTATAGAAGTTTCTAGGTGGAAAGTATTAACAATTTCATTGCTATCTCTTCCAATTCATCATGAACCCGCCAACTGCATTTACATTGATGATTTTCCTGATCGGAATGGTGAAAGGACTAAAAAGTGAGTGAAGATCTATCCTTTACTTAATCTGGAATTTTTCAAAAGTGCAGGACGCTGTGCCTTTTCTCAATAAAGTGAATAAAATTCATATTTATCAAATTTGGCGCAATGTTGCCTCCACGTATAGAAATATCATGTTAGAAGAGTAAGGTTTTCACTTCCGCTTTTCAACATGTTTTTTTGGTTTTCAGAAAATTTCTACGCAGTTTTAAATTACATGGTGGATTTGAAAGCACTATAGGTTGAATTGCTTCAAATTTGTCAGTCCATCAGAGGAACATTAGACTAACACAGTCAAGTAGAACCATATAGCTCCATCTAATTCAGAAAAATAAACAGCTACAGTACCTACATATCTAAGGATTGAATTTATAGATCAAAGTTCACAGAACAGCAACGAACGCTATTATTGCTTTTAGGCGGTGTCCACATTTAGGTCATATTACTCAGTCTAAGTGCTCAGAAACCATGAAACATTTAAAAAGAAGGATGTAGACAAGCTGTTGTGTAAAAATGCTGATGAGCCATTTGTATCTATGCAATCGAAATTAGTTTAGATTGCTGTTCAAAGTTTCCCCTATACTGATTTTGTCCATTTTATTTCATATTATACCGGTACAACTAGAAAGTGGAAAGAAATAACCCATACATAATCAACTAGAACAAGAGATAACTAAAATTTTCCTAGTATTTTTTACTAAAAGTATATTACAGAAGTTTTTTTATTTTACCATAATTTAAATTAATTAATGGTTGTTGCGATACAGATATGAAGAACTGAAACTTTATGTCCCAATCGGCACTCTGTTAGCTACACGACACTCTGAGAATAGATTACTTCTACAGCTATAAAGGCTTTCCCTTTCTTAGAATTTTCAACTTTTGATGTGAGTGAAGTGCAGCCTATTGGCGAATCGAACAGTTAGCTGTCTCCTTAATTGCTTTGTTCTGAATGTCGGATTGTTTGATTTTATCACTAAAATGATAGTGGCAGCTATGTATGTACTTTTTAGTAAAATGCTTCTATGCATATACTTTTCAGTGGAATGCTTCTCGTGCAGAAGCAACGGTGACTGGTCCTTCTACATGGAGCGAATACCTGGCTTGAAGGTTTGCTTGATCAATTTATACAACATCTGTACTAGTTTAAAAACCGCTCTCTACATGCAATGATGAGAAAGTGCGTTACTCGAACTGTGCGCTGTACGAATCTTCTTGACAACTTTGAGAAGTTCGTGAAAAAGTTCTCAAGGTCGGCTTTACTGCTTATAGTTTGGCACCCATAGCATTTTTGTGGGTCTTGATTTGATGATATTCATCACTACTCCATATCTTACAGCGCGGCTTTGATAGCCTACGAGAGCTGATTTTAGCCCCTCGCTTAAAATTATCAAATTTAGTTAATTGCAATAGGTTCGTTTGTTCATCTTTGACGATTTTGTTATCCATTCCTTCTTGTTCTTCAATTTTGTCTTCGCATCAAAGTCATACCCTACTCTCTCAAATATCGTGAAAATCAGCCATAGGTAAATCAGAAAAAGTTATAACAGAAAACTTTTTGCAACGATCTATTGCATTACTCCACCTCCGCGAACTTCGAAACTCATGCAATTGAGCCACCGAGAATCTTTAGCGCTTAAAATTCTTAGTGGCAATTTTTCGCGAAGATGCAAATTAATTAAGTTCACCAATTGGCTATTTTACTGCCAAAATGCTCGCAACTCTTATCTGGCTTTTTTCTACAGGGACCGAACGTTTCCGATGTGCTGCCAGTTTCTCCTGTCGAATGTATTTTTGATCCAATGAGAATATACGCTGATCGCACATCTGTTGCGTGCACCGGCTACTGCATGAAATGGACATCAGCGAAAATTCTTGACGATGGTATAGACTTTTGATAAACACTGCTTATACGCCAGTCTAACTTCTGCTAATGCTCATTTTCATAAGTGCCTTTATCATTTAAGGTGGCCTTGAAGTCAATCTACTACGCGGTTGTGTTGAGACAGTTATGGAACCTACCTTCAACGTTCCAGCTGAAGACAGGTGAGATTCCTCTTTGGAACTTTGGCCTTAGAACCTTATTATATAAATAAGTTTTTTTTT